CCAGGCTACCGCGTCCAAGGAGAAGCAGCCTGTGGACCAATCCTCGAAGAAGCGCGAGATCGGAGCCTTGTCCGACGATGACGAGTATGACTTGGAAGGAGGACCCCATAAGCACCACAGGTGTTCCTACATCATTGGCGGCCCTCAAGGAGGTGACACCTCGGGCGAGAGGAAGCAGTGGGCTCGATCCTTATACGTCGAGGAGATTACTCGGATGCCCGCGGAGAAGAGGATGAAGAGGGACTCAATCTATTTCACTGATGCTGACTTACCACCTATGCCGCCGCTGCATAGGGATGCCCTGGTTATCAAGGTGGAAATTGATAATACTATCGTTCACCGAGTTTTGGTAGACAACGGAAGTTCGGTGAATGTGATGTATTATGACACGTTCCAGGGCCTTGGCTTAAGTAAAACTGTTTTGAGCCCCGTTAAAACGCCGTTCTCAGGATTTACCGGGTACTCAATCGAGTCAGAGGGCAGCGTGGTGCTTCCTGTAATGGTGGGCTCCGAGCCTTGCATAGCCAGGTTGAACGTCGAGTTCATAGTAGTACGTTTGACTTCCGCGCACAAGATCATCATGGGGAGGCCTGCGTTAGAGGATTTGAAGCGCATTATCTCCCAGGAACACCTATGCATGAAGTTCCCTACCCCAAACGGGGTTGGGGTAGCCCGGGGAGATCAAAGGATGGCACGGAGCTGTTACATGAAGGCATGCAAGCAGCTCGAGCAAAAGGACCTTAGGGTCCACACTATCAACAGTAAGGCTATGAAGTACGAGGAGGGTCAGCTCCGCGCTGAACCCACCTCCGAAGTTGAAGAGGTTCAAATCGATCCCAAACACCCAGACCGAAGAATAAAGATCGGTGTGGGGCTCCCAATCGAACTCAGAAAGAAGATCATCCAAGTTTTAATCACATCCAGTATGGTCTTTGCATGGGGACCTGAAGATATGCCGGGATTGGATAGGAGAGTGGCCGTCCACAGGTTAGCAGTTGATCCGACAGTGAAGCCGGTCCAACAGAAGAGGAGGCACCTCTCAGTGGAACGAAGGGAGTTCGTGAAGAAGGAGATTGCTATGCTCTTAGCCATCAAACACATAAAGGAGGTATTGTACCCGGAGTGGCTGGCAAACGTGGTCCTTGCGCCAAAGCCGCCGACTTGGAGGATGTGTGCCGATTACATGGATCTCAATAAGGCGTGCCCAATGGACCCTTTTCCTCTACCTAACATTGACCAGCTAGTTGACAGGACGGCCGGGTGCGAGCTCCTCAGCTTCATGGACGCGTTCCGGGGGTATCATCACATATTCATGCATGAAGATGACGCGGAGAAGACCTCGTTCATTACCCCGGAAGGAGTCTTCTGCTATTTAGTCATGGATTTTGGCCTGAAGAACTCTGGGGCAACGTATACAAGGATGGTCGCAAAGGTGTTCCGAACCGTGCTGGGAAGGAACATGGAAGCATATGTCGACGATATGATCGTCAAGAGCACTCGAGAGACGGACCACGCAGACGACCTGGAAGAAATCTTCGGAATCATGAAGTCAGTCCAGCTGAGCTTGAACCTGAAGAAATGTACCTTTGCCGTCCAGGGAGGCAAATTCCTGGGATACATGGTCACACGGAGGGGGATTGAGCCAAATCCCGAAAAGGTGAGAGTGATACTTGACATGGAGCCCCCGAGATCGGTGAAGGAAGTCCAGGTTCTCACCGGCCGACTGGCAGCCCTCGGACGCTTCATGTCTAAGTCTGCCGAGAAATCTCTACCTTTCTTCCAGGTCTTGAAGAAGCAGAATGGCTTTGTGTGGACTAACGAGTGCCAAAGAGCCTTTGAAGATTTGAAGAAGTACCTCCTCTCTGAATCTTTACTGAGCAAGCCGGAGAGGGGGGAGACACTGATCCTATACCTCGGAAATTCTCAAGGCGCGATCAGCTCCGTGCTGGTTCGCGAAGAGGATGGCGTTCAACCTCCAGTCTATTATGTGAGCAAGGCTCTCCAGAATGCTGAACTCCAGTACACTCCGCTTGAGAAGACAATCTATGCAGCCTATGTCACGGCAAAAAAGTTGACTCATTATTTCCAGGCACATCCGGTCAGAGTCTTGTCGGAGCAACCTCTGGGCACAGCACTAAGGACTCCCGGGACAACCCGGGTCGTCAAATGGTCGATGCTGCTCAATCAATACGAAGTAGACTTCCAACCCCGATCATCCATAAAAGGACAGGCGCTCGCAGATTTCATCGTTGAGTGCACGGCAAGAGAGGTGACAGAGAAGCAAAGGGTCAGCGAAGAACAGTGGTGGACACTAGCGACTGACGGGTCGTCCGGGAATAAAGGCTGTGGCGGTGGAGTTGTCCTCATTTCGCCGGAGGGATTCCGAGCCTACTATGCTTACCGGTACTTGTTCAAAGTATCAAATAACGAGGTAGAGTATCAAGCCCTATTGTCGGGGCTACGGCTAGCTGTGACCATGCGGGCAGAGTGGATTACAGTGAAGTGTGATTCCCGACTAGTCGTGTCCCAGGTCAAAGGGGATTTTGAAGCAAAATAAGAAAGGATGGCAAAGTATAGGGATGCTGTCATGGAACTGCTCGGGTTGTTCAAGAAAGCCGAGTTGGTTTGCATTCCGCGGAACCAGAATGCAGATGCTGACCTGCTATCTCATTTGTCACAGGGATTACCCGAGCACATCTCCAAGATTGCTCGAGTTGAGGATATGACGACGTCGAGCATAGCAGCTTCTCCGCCCATCTCCGTCCTACCTTTACATCAGGGAGTGTGGAGCTGGGTGGACGATTTGTTACACTACATAGCGGACGAGACCTTGCCTAACCAGGAGGAAGAAGCGGAGCTTGTCCGGCGACGGGCTCCGAGCTACGTTGTCTTGGAGGGCAAGCAGTACAAGCGATCCTACAACGGAACGCTTCTCAGATGTCTAAGACCACATGAAACATACATGATCATTGCGGAGCTCCACAGTGGAGTGTGTTCGGCTCACCAGGGAGCATGCACGTTAGCCAGGAAGGTTGTCCTGCAAGGATATTTTTGGCCCACGATCATGAAGGATTGTGCCGATTATGCAAGAAAATGTGATACATGTCAGAAGTTCCAAAAGAGTCCGGGAAGGCCGGCAACGATGTATACGCCTATCAGCACTGCTTTACCATTCACCCGTTGGGGGATTGACTTAGTTGGTCCCCTACCAAACGGTTCCGGGAGCAGGAAGTTCGTCATCGTAGCTGTGGATTACTTCACAAAGTGGGTTGAGGCCGAACCACTTGCGAGCATAACGCACCTCTAGTGCAAGAAGTTCATTTGGAAGAACATTTTCTGCCGGTTCGGGGTTGCCTTGCAAATCATCTCACACAAGGGAATACAATTTGATTGCGAACCATTCAGACAATTCTGCTCAGAGTGGGCGTGGAATCCAGTCGGGCATCTGTTTGCTATCCCCAAGGGAACGGACAAGTGGAGAACACCAATCGCACAATTGCGGATGGTCTCCAGAAGAAGCTGGAAGCACTTGGAACTGCATGGGTTGAGGAGCTGAACAACGTGTTGTGGACGTTCCGAACGACTCCCAGGAAGGCGACGAGAGAGACTTCTTTTTCTTTATGTTATGGTTTCGAAGCAAGGGCACCCTTTGAAGCAGTGATCCCTAGTCGAAGGGTGGAAGAATTTGAGCCGGTCAGCAGTGAGGAAAGACTCCGAGCCGAGCTCCACCTCATTGAGGAAAGGAGGGACCGAGCATTCATCAAAGTAGAGAACTACCGCAGACAAGTGAAGGCATATCAAGACAGCCGAGCGGTTCCCCGAAGCTTCGACGTAGGAGACTATGTGCTAAGATGGAGGAAGGCAAACAAGCCAACCGAGGGGGGAAAGCTCTCCACCAAGTGGGAGGGCCCCTACGTTATTGAAGCCGTGGTCAGACCCGGGACGTACAAATTGAGGACCACGACAGGGAAGCTTGTTGATCGTGTTTGGAACGCGGAGCACCTTCTTAAGTTTTATCAGCAACGCTATGTAATATTTTAGTCCTTTCATTACCTTAATAAAACTTCGGTTATCTTTTTCAATCTTGAATTTATGATGTCCGACCTCACTTGGAAATAAACGGGTGGTGGCTAAAAAAAAGTACATATATCATGCCCCGCCCTCGGTGTTTAGTCGACCACGGCTCAGACCTCGGGCAAGGAAATAATCAAACTACTTTCTAAGTCCGATATTGGCCGCTCGGTCAGGGCAACTACAAGACCGGCTCCCGGGTCGAAAAGGTATACGACAGGTCGGGCCCCAAGCCCCTCTCGTACATCTGTTGTCTAACGTTGATGTCTAAACAGCTCGCATGCACGTGCGACCCTATCAACGATGCGGCAACTATATGACCGGTGTCCGGACTGAAGGTATGCGGAAGAATGTGCTCCGAGCTCCTCCTGCACATCCGTTGTCTGACGTTGCTAGGCTTAGCAGCCCGCATACGCGCTTGACAGGATCAACGGTGCGGGTCCGTTCTGGTCTGATCATGCAGGGCCTTGCCCTTACGTTTGGCCGACTTCAGTTCGACTTTCAGAGAGGGAACAACCAAAATATTTCCTAAGTATGAAACTAGTCGTACGAGTCCAGGTGGTGTAAGATCGACTTCCGGGTCGAAGGTATGCGAGAAGTCGCGCCCCGAGCCCCTCTCGTATATCTGCTGTCCAATCACTGGCCCAACAGCTTGCACAACTCGTTAGTCCTAGACCGACAGTGTGCGGGTCAGCCCCGTCTTACCCAGCAGGGCGCGGTCAAGGTCGGCCTTGCCGACCTTCCGCCCCTCACGGCCTAGGTGGGGAGCCAGATCCCCGATAAGTTATCCAAGCATTCTTGAATGAAAAACACCTAAGTAAATTACAAGGACAAACATTGCAAGCATACAAGCTCCAACATCAAAACAGCCCATGAATAAAGAATAGAGTTGAAAACATGAATCTCGAGAGCAAAGTAAGCGTCAACGTCAAACGGAAAAACAAAACAAGAGTAAAACTACGATCTATAATCTAGGGATTGAGCGGCTCCTCAGGAATACCCTGGAGAATGGTCTCGAAGTCAAAGCCATGAGTAACATCTTCCAGATCATAAGGAACTCCCGGGAACGTTTGAAGACTCCAATGTGTGTGGCCATCATCATCACCCGCCATGTCCTCCTCGTCAGGATCAGGTGGGAGCGCAGGTAGGCCAAGCTTCTCGGGCTCAAAGCCGGGAAGACGCTCTGTCAGGCTCTCATACAGCATCTTCTGCATGTCATACCGGCCACACCGGAAAGAGAACAAGTCCTGCTCCTCGCGCCAGTCACGCCCCTCCTTGGTCTGCAGCCAAGCTTGAATTTGCTTCGCACGGGGGGCGGCCGTCCTGGAAGCGACAAGCTCCGAAAACTCCTGGGACACTTTAAACGTCTCAACAGCTTGCTTCCCCGCATCCTCAGTCCGTGAAGCAATAAGCTCTGAGAACTCCCGGGAAGCCTTGAACGCCTCGATCGCTTGTCGCCCTGCATCCGCAAACGACGCCTCTAGCTGGTTATATTTAGACTCCATTTGGTCGCATTTTGATTGAAGGTCGGTCAGGGCTCTCTTATGTTCTTCATTGCGTGCTGTGTGTATCCTCAGATCCGCCTCCACATCATTTGCTCGCTATCGAGCCCGAGTAGCCTGGAGGTAGGCTTCTTCAGCCCGACGTTGGAGCTCCGCATGTTGATCTTTCATAGTGCGGAGCAATGCAGCCAGATCCATCAGTCCCTGCAGAGAAAAGAAAATCAATCATGAGACATCTATCGAGGTTTGCGAACCAGGACAACACCGAAGGTCGGTGTAAGGTAATCCACCTCAGTGTAAGCCCGAGTGGAACGCTCAACTAAAGGAAAGAGACCGATAGACGCCAAATACTCCCGACCCTCAGAAGATATCAGGGAAGGAGCTAGAGTGGCCGCTGGTTCCATCTCTGCGACTGGCGTGATACCGGGAACAGGGCCGAGACAAATGACAAGAGGGGCACTGGATGGGCCAGACTCCTTCCGGTTGGATTCTGCAACTCTACTCGGCACAATGGGCAGCTCCAGACGCTTACTCTTCTTGAGAGTTTGCCGTTCACATGGATGAGAAGGCCCGTGTTTTCCCTCATTGCTAGACGGACTTGGATCAGATGATAGGGAACGAGATCTAGCATCTTTCTTCGTGGCCAAAGCAGCAAGTTCGCTTCTCCGACCATACACATCTGCAAAAAAAAAGATAAAAAGGGTGAGCAGAGACCCTACCGGTGGGGACTTTTCCCCTAGTCATCCTAAGGAGAAGGGTGTACCTTTGCGTTTCTTAGCGGGTGGCCCCTCACCAGAAGGGGAAGACCTGCGCTTCTCCTTGGCACCACCAGAACCTAAGTGAGATGTCGGAGGGCAAGATTTAGCATCTTTCATTGTGGCCAAAGCAACGAGTTCGCTTCTGCGGCCTACTGCATCTGCAAGGAAATATAAAAAAAATTATTATTATTATTAGCCGAGTACCCGCTAGCAGGGATATTCCGCTTACCCGTCTTAAGAAGTGGCTCATACCTTTGTTCTTCTTGGCAAGTTTCTCAGCACGAGGCGGGGAAGTTGCACGCTTTTCTACGACATTGGACGGTGAGGCCCCGCGCCTCTCCCCGGCATTGGACGGACCGGCACCAGATAAGCAGGGCTGAGGGTGAACTTCCTGCGCTATAGCTAGAGCGGCAAGGGCGCCTCTCCTGCCTGTCATATCTGTGATAGGCAATAAATAAAGGTGAGCAGGAAGGGATAGCTTAGAGCAATAAGACATTTTCCGAGCATGAAACTCACCCAAATATGAAGTGATCGAGAAAGGGCCCCCCTGAAACAAAACATCAATCTCTCTCTGGAGGTCGGGGGTAATGTCGACAGCTTCATACCTGCGCATCCAACTGCCTCAGATGAACGTGACGGGAGATGCGATAGGAGCGGACGCCCAAACCCATTTACTCAGCCACCTCTTGTTGTTGTCGGGGTGTGGACCGAACAACTTATGGGCGTGTGCTTGGTGGAGCGACAGAATAGTTCCATCGCCTAGATCAGAGGTAGAGCACCTCCAGCGAAAACAATATCGGAACAAATGCAAAGACGGTTGGATGGGCGTGCTCCCACAACGGGATATAAAGGCAGCTATGAACATGTGGGCAACGGGAGTCAACTGGCTCGGCGTTATTGACGTGCACTCGTCGTTAGGTGCACTCAAAATAATTAATCAATACAACACTAATACGTAGTATAGTGTAGTAAGGTTCGTATCCACAGGGAAAGGAATACTTTTCTTTTATATAAATAATAACAAGGGGGTTTAGATTTGCTTGGTTTAATAACACTAAGATAAACGACCTATATGAGTTTAATGCAATGAGATGAAGACTTGGTCTTGCTTTTATCCACTTAATGAAATGTTCGTCGATCCCGGTTATATCTTTAACTATCTTCCTCTCGAATACTCAATCGAGGAGTATATCCAGTTCATCGAGGGTAGTTATTAATAACGAGATGCGTTCATTAATAAAACTTACTATCGAGTCAATATAGAACAAGCGCCGTATATTAACTTGATAGTAGCAATAAACTTAAGATGAAAACGATTGAGATTGATAACCTCAACACAAGCGGTTTATTGGTTTAATCAATATAATTAATTCCCCTTGGCATATTAACCATGAGATGCATGCATTAATATTCCAAGTTTACTACCGTTGAAAGAACCGGATTAATAACAAGCGTATTAACCGATTGATTCTAGTAATAATTAATATGAGAAACAATACTAGTTGATACTTTAAGTAATGTTTAAGATATTAACATGAAATATGAATAGGAATTAATACTCAAGGAAGAATATTAAAATATATGAATCCTACTATGATTAATATCAAGATGTTAACTAATTGTCATCTTAGTAACACTCCCCGATATTATCATAGAGGAAGAAATAGCTATTACTATAACCAATGTCAAGATGTTAACTAATTGTCATCTTAGTAACACTCCCCAACTTTGATATAGAGATAGTATTTTGAAAGAAAGAATTAATATTCAAGGAAGAAGATTAAAGAAAAATAACTCACAACTTACAAATTCATTAAGCTTCAAAGTAGCAAAACCAAGATGGAAGAGTTTAGCTCCTCATTTGGAGACTAAACATGATGAACAATATAAAGAAAGAGATATTCTATACTGAGCTTAGATGTACAAAGGGATTGGATATGTTTTTGTGAAGGAAAGGAGGTGTATTTATAGGTTTTTGGGATGAGATTCGGGTACTCGATCGGGTATATACATGGTACCCGATCGAGTATGTGTGTAACACCCGATCCGAGGCATACTCGACCGGTTTCAGGCTATTTTCTAAGTGTATACCCGATCGAGTATATATGAATACCCGGTCGAGTATGCTTAGAAAGTGGTATTCGGGCTATACTCGACCGATCTTCGTTTGCAATTTAAAGGCATACCCGATCGGGTATGTCGGTCTACCCGATCGGGTATAGACATAGAATCGTGGTCAAAATCTTCCCTGCATGTTCCTTTGTCTTCGGATCTGATCCGATTTGAAGTTCCAACCTAATACCCGATCGAGTATAGCTAATACTCGACCGAGTATAGACCAAAATTCAGGATCTTCTTTTGTCTTTGAACTTTTGCACCTTCTCTTCACTTTTTGGGTTTACCAACTGTACTTTGGGTGACCAAAACCTGCTTAAGCTCAGAATATGTCTAATCTAACCTATTTACAAGAATTTAACAATCTAATCTATTACACCAAAAGTGTGTAATTTCCAAAGTAAAAGTCAGGCAAAACTAATTAAAAACATAAACATAGAAATGGAAATTACGAACGTATCAACTCCCCCACACTTAAACCTTTACTCGTCTCGAGTAAGATCAAATGTTTACAAGTGTCAATGTTTGTCCAAAAGTTCCACAGTTCAACAAAAATATAATACAAACACAAAGACCACCAAGGATTACAAAGAAATATGAGTTTTAAACTCAAATCACAAAAGAGCATCTTGGGTTTAATGGCCTCCTAGTGTTGTCTTCTTTTCTCCTCCTCTCTTCTTCTTTATCTTGAATCTTCATATTCTTCATAAGGATACAATGAGTGTCTGCAAGAACAAACATTTCTCTCATATCTCTCATTTTGCCTAGGAGCCTTTTCAGGTTTTCATCCTAGCACCTCTTTTCATTTTCCATTCTCTCCAACTCACTCATTTTTTATAAGCCTTTTTTGCTTAGATTGCCCATTTTGTTGGGTTTTCAACCTAACTAGCATTTGTTTTCTTTTGTTTATTTTTTTTTCTTTAATTTTTTATTTTTTTTTATTTTTGAGTGTAAAAGTTCAAAAGAATTACATGCATAGTGCTAGGTACAAATGAGAATTACATACCATCATGAGTGTCTCCCCCGCACTTGAATCACGCACTGTCCCTAGTGCCCGCCTTCTCCTCCGTAGTAGCTCCCTCCAAAGCCGCTCCCTTGGCCACCATCTCCCATGTAAGTGTCCCCGCCATCTCCGCCGTCGTACCCTCCACCACCGGAGCCAGATCCTCCAAAGTTACCCCAATGAGTGGGGTCATACCATGAGGGTGGTGGAGGAGGGTTCGCCATGGTATGGAAGGATCCCTGCTGTGCCATAAACGAGTACATAGGCCCGTAGAACCTATGTTGGTCTTCCTCATACCGGTGTCTATCGGCCTCCCGGAGCTCCTCCAAACGTTGAAAGTCGGCCCTTTGCTCATCCTCCAATCTTTGAAAACCGACTCTTTGCTCTTCCTCTAATCGGTTGAGCCGGTTGTCCATTTGGGCTATTCCCGTAAGAAGTTGTTGTTGACCCTCCAGAAGTTGTTGAAAGAAGTCAGGTGATGGAGGGTTTTGGCTTTGTTCTGGGAAATCATGGCTCATGGTTGGATGGCTATGGAGTTGCTCGTAGGGCTCGTCATCGGGTTGGTTTTGGGGGAGTTCCTGTTCCGGTTCTTGAAGATGTGGTGGGAGGGCGTTTGGGAAGAGGTAATGTTGATCCGGTCTGCCTGTTTTGAAGTGGAGTTGGGGGAGTTCTGGGTTGGGCAAGAGGAAGTATTTGAGGGGTTTGGGGTGGATGTGCCAGTTATACATATTTTTGGGCCTTTCTTCACCATAAACGGTGTGTGAAAAAGATGTACAGCCCGAGTGGCCTAGCCAAGATATGTTCATTAAACAGTAGTCGGGTATAGGAGAGTCATCCGTATACTCGAACTTTGTGGCCAAGTGCATAATCACCCCGCCCACTACGATAGCACCCTTTGCCACACTTTCCTTCTTTAGATGAGCCCACATGAGATTACAGAGGTTAAAATCCACGTGGATACGGAATAAGGCAACCGAGATGAGGCATACATCCCCCATCCTTGTATGATGGTTGTTGGGACGTCCAAGCAAGGAGTTGGCAAGGAATTTCAAAAAGAGGCGTAGGACTGGATGTTGGACATGACTAATGTATAGTTGGGAGGAGCTAAATTTGGTCTCCCCGGTCATCTTGGTCCATAGGGTGTGGCCGAAGGCGGTATTGTCGGATATAGACTTTTGGTACGGGACCGGAATACCAAAGTGTTCGGCAAACTCAAGTTTTGTGATGGTGTGATTGTGATTAAACAATCGAAACCTGAGTTTATCATCTCTAAAGTCCTCCTCATTGTTCTCAAAGTGCACCGAGCTTAGGAATTCATAGATAATTTTTTCATTTGAGTTGTATTTCATTTTGAAAATTTTATCCATATGCAACTCATGAAAAAATTTCTTCATTATTGTGTATACTCCTAATTCCTTTAGAGCATCAAGGCATAAAAAGCGGGAAGGTTTGACTTGCCTTTCAATTGTGGACATGAAGCGTGTGCGTTGTTCGTTGTCCACGAAAAGGATGTCCTCGTAGCCCGGGATGATTGTCCTAGTGCTTGAGCTTTGCCCTTTCTATTTCCTTGGAGCCATGTGAAGTGAATTTGGCCTTTGAAAACCGAAATTGGAATGGTGGGGGTAGGGTTTTTCGGACCTCTGAAAGTTGAGGGAGAATGGGATTGGTGGGTATGAATGTGTAGAGGAGGATGAGGGGAGTGTTTTGGCGTTGGAATGGGTGGATTTGGTGAAGATTTGGAAGAGATATGGTAGAGAGAAGGTGTAAAAATGGAGTTTGGGCGTTTTTTGTTCGAGATAGGGTTGGGAATTTGGGGAAGATGAAGTGTTTTGGGGCTGATTTGGGGTTATAAGACCCGTATACCCGATCGAGTATGTGCTGGTACTCGGTCGGGTATGGCTGGAAAGTGTAGTTTTTGAGCGGCCTGTCTCCTGTACTCGATCGGGTAGGGTGGAGTTACCCGGTCGAGTATGCTTAGAAAATGAACTTTGTGAGCAACCTGTCTCCTGTACCCGGTCGAGTATTCCTCCATACTCGATCGGGTATATGCTTTTTTTCCATTTTTGAAGCGGGTACTCGGTCGAGTGTGGGAGTCAGTCCCCTTCAATTTTAGCATTTCTAGCAATACCCGACCGGGTGTAAAAGTGATACCCGATCGGGTATTGCTTATTTTTCAATTTTTGAATGCTCCCTCGATCGAGTAGTGCCCGGTCCCTTTTCTTTTTTGCTCATACCCGACCGAGTATAAGGTTATACTCGATCGGGTATGTCCCCAGATGTTCAAAAACCTGCATTTTTTTTTTCTTTTCTTCCAAAAACCCATGATTAGTGCCCTCCCTCACTGATCTCTCAAATAATTAAACAAAAAAAATGAATTCTAAATAAATAAAAAGAAAAATGAATTATAAAAAAAAATAAACTTGGGTTGCCTCCCAAGTAGCGCCTTAGTTAACGTCGGGGCACGACGTTATTCATTTTTTTTTGGTTTTGTTTTATGTGGGATCATGAGTATCCCTTGTTTCACTTTTTAAGGCCCTATTTGGCCATTTTTCATTTTTATTTTTCGGCCTTTTCCAGTAAGGCCGGGGTTTCTTTCTCAAAAGACATCTGGTTTTATCCGCTTCTTTGAAAAACAGCGGTTCTTGTGGTTCAACAACATGTAAAGAACACAGAGTTGGATTTTGTATTTGTTTTTTCGTAGAGTCCAAGATGTTGAACTCCACTTTTTGATCATCGAACTCTAAA